GGTGGTGGTGGTGGTGGTGGTGGTGGTGGTGGTGGTGGTGGTGGTGGTGGCTGGGTTTCAGTGTGGGGCAAAACTTATTCTCAGGCTCCCCACATTCCCTGAAAAACTCCACCATCATTTCTGAAAATGTGAACCCAGCAGACAACCTTGGGGTATTTGCTCAAAATACAGATTTTCCACTTCATGCCAATAGAACGGAATCTGAATGGGGGGAAGGTGGGGAGGATAAAACTTACATTTTGATAAGTTCCTGGGTGGATTTTAAAATACATATTAAAATTGAGATTTTAATCACCATTATAAACTGTCTTCGAGAAAATAATCGCGGGTGGGAGATGGGAGCTCAGCGTTCCAAACAGGAGGGATGGCTAGCGTCTTCCCCAATTCAGGCAGGCTCAGCAGCAAAATGCAAAGGACAGAGACTGGGCCAAAAACCTGAGTCCTAGGAGGCTGGGGGAGGGGTGTGCGACTCCTTTCAAAACCCTCATCCCTGTCCTGACCAATTACTGGACGCTGCGGGTGTCGCGGTGAGGGGCACTGTCTCCCCTCCCTCTCCGAAGCTGGAGTGGGGCGAAGAGGGCGGCTCTGGGCCATCTGCGCGGTGGTGGACACTGAAGCCCAGGAAGGCGACGGGCCTTTAGTCCAGAGCCTGCAGAGGACGCTGGAATCCCGAGGCTCAGCCTCCAGCCGCCTGGCAGCCGGGGAGAGCGCTGCGGGCGTGGTTCTCGAAAATCCCCTCTTTTCCACAGCTCTGCCACACCTCTGGCCCCCATCCCTCCTGGAGAGCAGCCCTTCCTCTCCGGCCTCAATTTCCCCACCCGCGTCCGTGCGTGTGTGTGCGTGTGTGTGTCTTGGGAAGGGGAGGCTCGGCAGCGGGATTCCCCCACGGGAAAGCAGCCCAGTCCCTCCCCCAGGCTGTTCGAGACCCTGAACCGAAACAGGAGCCAGGACGCCCCTGGCCGGGAAGCGGCCCCAGCCCGGATTTCCCTCCCGGGTGGGGCCGCAATGACTCACTCCCCTCCCCCTTCACCCCGGTTTCCTTGTTTGCATTTCTCCTCCCGGCCACGTGGCGGCCGGTGCCGCCACTCACGACCCGTACTCCGACACCGCGGCCGCGGCGGCCCTGGCACACAAGCCCGGGCCGCTCCTGCCCCCTGGGGTTTCTCGGGTCTCTGGCTGGCCCCCGCCCTACTACCCCCGAGTCCTGACTCCACCCCCGGCCCATGCCCGCTCCCTTCCCTGCACCCTCCCCCGTCAGGCCCCGCGCCTCCTCCCTGCCCTCTCAGCCAGTCCCGGGGAGGGGAAGGGGGCGGGGAGCGCAGGGGGGTGTGACAGCTCCCGCCCGGACCAGTGCCAGCTGCAGCCTCGCTTCAGTGCCCGGTGCCAGCTGGCTCATTCGTCTGGGACGGAGGTGGAGGTTTGGGGCTCCTTGACGCAGGGGGGGGCTCCCCCCCACGCCCCCTGCCCTCTTCGCACCTAAAAGGAGCTTCTCCACCCCGCCCGTTGCCCTGGCGGCGGGTCCAGCTAGGAATTACCCTGGTCATTTCGCCTGGGGCTTCCAACCCACACCCTTCTAGGAGCAATCGGGGTCTCGCTGAGGGTCTCCCCCCGCCCCAGCCTTTCGCTAGAGCCTGCAGGGCTGTGCGAGCTTGAGCAGGAACATGAAGGTGGGTAAGGTGGGGGTCAGGGTGGGGAGGAACAGAAGAGGAAGCTGACAGGGTGCGTGGGGTGTTTGGGTGGGAGAGAGAGGGCTGGCCAGGGGTGAAGGAGAAGGGGAGAAGAAGGGTTTGAGCTAGAGCTGTGTTTCTGGGGGATCCAGTGAGTCCGTAGCCTCATACTGGGAGGTGGTGGAGATCCCTTCAGGGCCATGGGCTGTGGGGTGGGGCAGAAGTCCAAAGGAGACAGGGAAGAAAGGCCTGATCTCCGGCCGCCAGCTGGAGACCCCGAAGCGCGCCAGACCGGCAGGCCCCAGTGAAGGTCTTCCTGTCCCTCCCCCGGCTCCTGGCAGGGTTGCAGCACCTCCGCCTGACCAGTCCAGAGGACTCAAAGGAAGTGGTTCTGCCTGGGGCAGTTGCGCCCTGGTCCAGCTGCCCCGGTCCCAGCCCCAGTCCCATGGCTCTCTGCCTTCCTCCCTGCGTCACAGGTGGGCTGGCCAGGTGAGAGCCGCTGGCAGGTGGGCCTGGCTGTGGACGACACCCCCTCTCTAGGAGCAGCACAGGTGGGAGGCCTCCCGGACGTGGTGCCGGAGGGGACCCTGTTCAACATGGTGCTGAAGAGGGTGCACCGGCCCCGAAGCTGTTCTTACCAGTTGCTGCTGGAGCACCAGCGTCCCAGCCGCATCCAGGGGCTCCGCTGGGTGAGTGCCTATCAGCTGCTGAGCTAGGGCCGGGCTGTGGGACCGGAGGGCCTGGACTTCGAGAAGGAGTACGCCACTGGGGGTGGAAGGGCTGCTGCCGGGCTGCACGGTGCGGTGAACAGCTGGGCTGCTGTGCGTGTGGGTGGCGTACACAGCCGCCCCATGTGTGTCTGCGTGCGAGTGGTACTCACCCCTGCCCGTGCTGGCGTGGCGGAAGGGGATTTGTCATCGACCTGTCACTTCTGTGCACCCCGAGTTAGGCAGCTCATGTGTTCCCCAGGTGGTGGTGGGAGGCATGTGGGAGATGGGGGCAGGTCAAGGGGGAGGATTAGGTAAGCTTCGTTGCTCTTCTGGATCTCTCACCGCGGCAACATTCTCCTATGGCGAGCGGCCGAACTGCGCCAATTCTGCTGGATCTTGGGGTGAAGTGGTCATGTGAACACTGCCTGGTGTCTGGCTCTGGGGTCTCAAGGGAGGCTTTGGTGAAGTTTGGAGACAGGAGCCGGAGTCTGCCTTTGCCAAGGAGCCTCCTGGAGCTGTAAGAATGAAGGAGAGGGCTGGAGTGGGCAGAGCTGTGGGTCGCAGGGTGGGCGACGGGATTCAGATCAGCAGAGAAGCTCTCTCCAGCTCTCTCCGACCACCCAGAGTCCCTAGAGTTCCTTCCCCTGAGATTTCACGTGTGTCTATTGTGTGGGTCACAGGACAGCTTTGGTGGGGGGTGTGGGATGCCAGGAGGGTAACCTGGGCGAAGGGGTAGAGGGAAAGCAGGAGCAGGTGACAGAATTGGGAGAGCTTGTCACCTATGTCTTTTATCAGCAAGTCCCTTTGAGTAGGATGACCACCACCTTCTGCCTCTTTTCCTCCTACCACTTGCCCAACTGCCACTTATATTTATCAAAATATGAGGCTGAGTGAGAAAAAATGAGGTCTGCCAAGGTGATGGGACCTCCTCCCCCAAAACGGAATTGAGAGGATAATCTAGGTGCCAGTCCCTAGCTCTCCCCCAACCCCTCCCTCCCTCCCTGGGTCTTCCTGATCAGTTGTCTCTTGGGCCTGGGTCCAGGTCAAGCTGGGGCTCCAGAGGGAGCAGGGGAGCGGCCCCTTCTGGGCCAAGCCGCCTCCCCACCCCTCCAGGTCACTGGCGGTAGCTAAGGCTTGGAGCCTGAGGGCTAGAACCCTCCCTCCTTCCTTCTCAGGCTATAATTACTTGTGCATTTCCGGTCCCCTTCCCAGCTAGTAGAGGCAAGATGGGGAGTGGGGGAAAGGGCAGGTGCCGGGGACAGTGAGGTCACTGGAGGATCCCTGGGGACTCAAAGACTCAGGAGGGGGAATGGGGGGGGGCAGGGGAAGTGGAAGAGGCCACAGGCTGTCTCCTGACTCTCCCAGCCCCCAGAATTGAAGAACTGGGGTGTGTGGGGAGGCCAGAAGGGTGGTGTGAGGGTTGCTGGAGTAGAAATGGGGTGAAAGTCACTGAAACACAGCCCCCACCCCCCACCGCCAGGTGTGTGTGGGGGGTAGGTGGGAATGGGTGATTAAAGGGAACTTAGATTTTTAGGGCTGGGGCAAGGGCTACACCCTCTCCTGATGACTGCCTCTGGGCAATGGGGGGATGGTGGTCTCAGCCCACTGCCGCTGTGTTTAAGAAGCCACACCTCTCACCTGTAGATGATGCATTTGGCCTAGGAGGGGCTCACCTGAAGGAACCAGGGGCTGCTCACAGTGGGTAAAGGATGGATGTTTTAAAGGAGTGGAGGCTAGGAGGACAGTGCTGGCAGTCATTCAGGCCGTGACACCCTCTTAGAAAACCAGGGGGAAACCCATCAACCTCCTGAGGCCTGAAGAGAGCACTTTGTGTTGTGACAAAATCAGGACAAGAGAAAATGAAAGCAAGAGCAGGACGGCCTGAGGTTAGATAGAGACCAGACTTACCAACTATAGTGAAAGTGACACTGGAATGGGATGGAAGGACATTTCCTTTGGAGCACTGGAGAGGGAGAGGAGATCTTTTCTGATGTCTGGGAGCCAGAGAAGGATCAATTTATCTAGAGGCAGGGGCAAGGTCAGGATACATCTGGTGGGTCTCACAAGCTCAGAGAAGCCTGGGATGCTTCCCTTTGAGTGGTTGTTTTGGGGGAGGTGGCTCTGTTCTCTAATTCTGAAAACATGCTTTCATCCAACCTGTCCAAACAATGGTAGTAGCTAATAGTTGTTTAATACTTAGGTCCCAGGCACTATTTTTTTTTTTTTTTTAAGATCTTATTTATTTGTTTGAGAGAGAGAGGAAGCACAAGCCAGGGGGAGAGGCAGAGGGAGAAGCCATCTCCCTGCTGAGCAGGAGGAGCCCGATGTGGGGCTCTATCCCAAGATCCTGGGATCATGACCTGAGCCGAAGACAGAGGCTTCACCGACTGAACCACCCAGGTGCCCAGGTCCCCAGGTCCCAGGCACTATTATAAGAGCTTTCCCTTATCATATCAGATAATCTGACAATAGCCCTGCGAGACGGATACTAATGTCGTCATCTCATTTTATAGACGAGAAAACAGAGGCACGGGGTGGCTAAGTGACAAATCCAAGAGGCTCGGATTCGTCTCTGCTAAGAGACAAAGTGAGGCTTCTGTCCCAGGTGGTCTGGCTATGATGGCCGAGTACACGGCGTGCTTTCTTTGACTACAGATGGTAACACTGACCCCCAAAGCATCACCCCTCCCCTTGCGTCCTCTCCCTGTCCCAACACACACAGCCCTGGCCTGAGACCCTAGCCATGGCCTAAGGGAACTGGTCTGACAGGTCTCCACGAGGCTCTCTGGCTCAGTGCCGGCCTCTCCAGTGTGGCTCTGACACCAAGTGACAGGGAGGGAGGGTGGAGCTGGCTTGTGGTGCTGGTGCCCGGAAGCTCCTCTTCTACCCTAAGTCCCTCCTGTCTGGGCAGGAGGGTATGCCGTGGGCAAGGGCCTTCACCCCTACCCAGACCAGCCACTTCTTTCCAACTGAGAACCCCTATGGTGACACTCAGGGTTATCGGATCAGGGACAGGGTCGGCTAAGGTACACAATATTTTTTGCATTGTGTCCGGGTAATAGGCGCCCATCGTGAAATAATGGTTTAATCAAGTTACTTAACACTTACTAAGCAGTTACCACAAGCCAAGCATCACTTCGAGTGTTTTATGTTATTAACTCATTTGACCCTCATAATTCCCTTATAAGATGGGTACTATTATCACAAACTCGATTTACAGATGAGGAACCTAAAGCCCACAGAGTTTAATAAGCAGCCAAGGTCACACAACTGGCTGGTACTGGGGACCCGAGATTTGACCTGGGCGTCTAAATTGGGAGACCCTAGCCTTAATCGTATCTCCTGAATAGTACCGCCGCTAGCCCAACCCCATCCTAAGACGTTCCCAGAGCACAGGCACAGGGTAGGGACCCAGAGGGACTATGATAACAAACCCGGGCAACTTCATTTAACGCAAGGTTTTCTAAACTTACTTGCCTGTGGAACATTCCTGAGGGCCGAATTTATCTGTCCATAACACAAGGTGGGGGAAGCCCCAGGCCGTGGAGGTGCCTGGGAGACAGTGGTGTGGAGGTGGTGTGGAGGGGCTGAGGACCTGTGCTTTGGAACCAGACAAGCACAGCGTGAATCCCAGAGCCCCTCTTCACCAACTCTCAAGCGAGGTTGTGTCACCTCTGAGCCTCCTCCTCCCCAGCTGCGAAGCAGGAGACAGACACCTCCCTCCAGGCTTAGCTCGGGCTGTTCAGTATGCTCTTGAATTTCTGAGCAGCTGTGAAACTCTGGGTCCATCACCTCGTCTCTCTGGGCTCCTTTTGTCCTTGGCAGACTGAGAGGGAGGTCTTCAGGAACCTTCCTCAGCTCTGATGGGCCAGAGCCCACTTCCCCTGACCCTCGTGCTTATTCCCTGAGGCTGAGCTGGAAATGGCTTCAACAAGGCCTGGGGATCTGGGATCTGGGGTGTGCCCTGCCTGGCCCTACAGGAGCGGACACGTCCCTTCCTAATGTGCCCTCCAGGGTCAGAATAATACCAGGAAGGGAGCACAGGCTAGGGCACAGAGGAGAGCTGGGGCAGGGACAGGGCCACCTGGGCATTTTGACATGAACAACAACAAGTCATTAGCACTCGGCACTGTTTGTTCCGACACAGGGGGGTGGCTTGGTAGCATTCCTGCCCTTCCTCCTTCCCGGACTCCTCCTCCTCCTCCTCCTCCTCCTCATTTCCTGTTGCTAAGTCTCCAAGGCTCTGTGTCTGGCACCAGGCTGGGCCCCATGACCCGGGCAGGGATACCCTAGGGACACCTAGTGACTTCCACCCAGCCCCAGACCAGGCGCCTGTGCTTGCCAGACCTCGGGCCTCTGCATGGCACACAGTGGGAAGATGCCAGGACCAGGCCAGGGGGTTCTGGCCCTGGGCCTGCTTGCTCCCCAGGTCCCCAGCCAGGTCCTTTTCAGGGTCCTGAGGGCATCTGGGAAAGCAGGAGACAGAGCTGGTGAGAAGGGGGAAGAGGGGAAGGGGAAGGAGCCAGGCAGGTGCGGTGGGTGGGGTGAGACCAAGAATGTGAGCACTTTGGAGCTTATGCACGGCTGTCTGGCTAAGTAGTCACTCATACTTGAGTGACTGAGTTACACCGGCTCTTCACCCCGACTTCCTAAGTCAGAGAGGACAGACCATCCCTGCTCCGCCTACTTTCCGTCTGGTCCTCTTCTGTGTAGGATCAGAGGAAATCATGAAGCAAGACGTGCTTTGTAAACTGTAAAGTATTCTGCCTTTGGGAGGGCCCATGGAGGGTCAGGAATCCTGTCCAGAGATGTCCACAAATTCCAGTTTTCCCTTTGACAGAGAAAGAAGGGTTGTAAGGGACTGTTGTAGCCCACGTCCCGGGACCTATGGGCCCTGGGGTCCTGGATGGCTCAGGTGATACCAAGGGCATGGAAGCCTTGTTAACCAGTGTTTCTACATAAATCCCGTCTTCCAGAGCCGGTGGGGCGCCGCCAAGACTTCCTCCCTCTTGCAGGGTTATGGGCTAGCAGCTGCATCTCAGAGAGCACAGGGCCTTTCCAGCAAGCAGCCCGCCCTCTGCTTCACAGATGAGTAATAATAGCCAACATGTACGTACAGCCCTGTGCGAAGCTGGGCTTCAAACATTCAACCCACACTAACTCACAGGACCCTGCCCAGAGCCTCTGTACTGCTATTATGAGTGTTTCATAGGCTTTATAGACAAGGAAACCCAGGCAGGGAGAAGTTAGGCCATATATTTAGGGTCGTACTGCTAGTACACGGAGGAGCAGGGATTTGAATCCAGGAGTCCCCAGGTCTTGTGGATGGGGACGAACCCTGGCTCAGGATTAGGCTTGTGTGACCCCAGGCTAGGAGCAAAGATGCTCACTTCCTGACCTGTCATGGGCCTTTCTTCCCTCCCATCCTCACGCTCTCTCAGCAATGTCCCGTACACAGGTGTGGTTCACCTGGGAGCCGGGGCACACCTGGGCCCTGCGTAAGCAGAACAGGGATCACATCTCTTGGGGTGCAGTGCTTGTGTCGAGAAGGAAGACAAGGGTCTGGTTGTAGGGTGGGGAGAGGTGGATGCCTGGTGGACGGGGGTGGCCGAGTAGCTCAGGTGCATGTGTTTAGAGCTGGGGATGGCGCAAGGGGTGCGAGAGAAATGGGGAGGGCTGAGGTCCATGAGCTGGCATTGACACGCAGACCCTCCCCCCTGCCCTTAGACGCCACTCACGGACAGTGAGGAGTCCCTGGATTTCAGCGTGAGCCTGGAGCAGGTACCAGCCGCAGGGGGTGGAGCCGGGAGGGCACAGCAAGCCAGGGCTTCAGGGCCTCAGCCAGCTGTGGCCCTCCCCGTACTAGGCGTCCACGGAACGGGTGCTCAGGGCTGGGAAGCAGCTGCATCGACATCTCCTCATCACCTGCCCGACCCTTATCCGAGACCGAAAGTACCACCTTCGGCTCTATCGGTGAGTGGAGGCCTGGGCTGCCTCCTTCCCGCCCCCTGTGTCTCTCCCTGTTGCTCTGTTTCAGGCCTCTGGGCCTCACCCTGCTGCCAGCCTAGTTCCCCCTTCTGCCCTCTACCCTCCTGCCTTTTCATTCTCCCTCTTCCTCTCCCCTTACCTCTATAGGCAATGCTGCTCCGGCCGGGAGCTGGTGGATGGCATTTTGGCCCTGGGCCTGGGAGTCCAATCCCGGAGCCAAGCCGTGGGAATCTGCCAGGTGCTGCTGGATGAAGGTGCCCTTTGCCATGGTGAGCCTGAACCCAGGGTGGGGCCCTCCGGGCTGGGCAGTCCTGGGGGGCAGGCATCTGGGGGCGGAGCCTCGGCGGGCCTTACTGTGAGGGCCTCGTACCCATGCGGCCTCAATTTGTTGCCTCCCTCACACCTGGGCCTCTGCCCTGCAGTGAAACACGACTGGACCTTCCAGGACCGAGATACCCAATTCTACCGTTTCCCCGGGCCGGAGCCAGAGCCCGCAGGTGTCCGGGAGCTGGAGGAGGAGCTGGTGGAGGCCGTGGCCCTGCTGTCCCAGCGGGGGCCTGACGCCCTGCTCACTGTGGCACTCCGCAAGCCGTGAGTCGGGTGCCCTGCCGCCCGCACCCCCCGGCCTCGCATGGCTCTAAGACTCTCTAGTCTCTCCGTTTCATCTCTGAGAGGTTCCCTTTCCTTTCGCTGTGTGATCTGGAGCCCCCCTTCTCCACCTCTGAACCTGTTTCTTCCTTTGTAGCTGGGGTGGGAGGCATGGGGTCTACAAGGAGCAGGTGCGCTCAGGGGCGGTGGTGGCTGGGAGGGGGTGGGCAGGCAGGTCCTGGTTCAGGTTCCAGTTCCGCGGGCGACTTTCTGGGTAGCCTTGGACCTCTCCATGCCGGCTTCCTCCTCTGTCAAAGGAGGAGCGCCGTGCCCACATCACAGGGTTGTCACGAGGGCAGGTGGGATTGACACGTGCGAAGCACTTGCCCCTTGTCCAGCACGTGGTGCACACGCAGTAGTGGCCGGCCTGGTCCGGTCACCACCACTGCTGCGGCCAGCTGGCCCCGGGCCCGAGCGTGGTGGGCGGAGTGGCTCCCATGTGCTGAGGCCCGCAGTCCATTGTTTGCTTCTCTACCATCTTATGCCTGCAGCCCTGGTCAGCGCACAGACGAGGAGCTGGACATCATCTTTGAGGAGCTCCTGCACATCAAGGCTGTGGCCCACCTCTCCAACTCGGTCAGTCCGCCTGCCTCCACCCTTCCCCCAGGACCTCCTCTCCCTGCAAATCCCTGTGGCCCCTATGGCTGGGCCAGCAGGTGCTTCCCTCCCCTTCAGCCTCTGGCTTGGAAATGTCCATCAAATTTCTGGCTCCCAACATCCTTGTCCAAAAATCCCTCTGCTCCTCCTGGCTTGTTTCCTTCCCTTGCGTTGTCTCCTGCTGAATCCCCGGCACCTGATCTAGCCCCATCTCTGGCCCCAGGCGCTTGTGTCCTTGAACCTAACCTCCCTGCTAACCTGGCCTTTCTTACCCTGGACTCGCTCCACTGACCCTCCTCTCCCCGCCTCACAGGTAAAGCGGGAATTAGCAGCAGTTCTTCTCTTTGAACCACACAGCAAAGCGGGGACCGTGTGTAAGTCAGACGGGGTGCAGGACATTGGGCACCAGGGGTCTGGACGTGGCAGAGGCCATGGTCCAGAAGTGGAGGGTGACCCCAGGTGTGTCTAATGGGTTTTCCTCTCAGTGTTCAGCCAGGGAGACAAGGGCACCTCATGGTACATTATCTGGAAAGGATCTGTCAATGTGGTGACCCATGGCAAGGTGAGTTCTCCCTCTCTCTCCAGCCTCCTTGGTGGTATCTGCTTCCCTGGCCCTAGCCCTCGAGGCAGGACCTTGAATGGACCCAAGATTACCAATCTCCCAGGTCTCCTCCTGCCCAGAGGTTCTCCCACCATGGATCTGCTCTGACAAGGGTTGGGGGGGTGCTGGCTGCAGGGGCTGGTGACCACACTGCACGAGGGAGATGACTTTGGACAGCTGGCGCTGGTCAATGACGCACCCCGGGCAGCCACTATCATCCTGAGAGAAGACAACTGTCATTTTCTCCGCGTGGACAAGCAGGACTTCAACCGTATCATCAAGGTGCCGTTACTGGGGGTGGTAAGGGCAGGGGATGTGGCAAGGACCCTCCTCTGGAGAAGTGGTAGGGGGTAAGGGGCAGGGACCAGAGAAGGCCTATAAGGAGCATGGAGAGGTAGGAGCTGGAGAAGCTTAGAGGTGATGGCTGGTGCATGGGAGAGGTCCATAGCACGCTGAGGAGGCTCAGTGAAACTGGAGAACCCCAGCTCAGTGTGGGAGACCGTGGGGGTGGGTGGCTACAGAGGGGTGGCAGGGCATAGAAGGGTGGGAGACTAGGGCATGAGGGGAGGCAGCGTAATGGAGAGTGGGAGCCACAGAAGGAGGTGGGGGAGGGAAGGGTGGAAGAGGTGGCTCTGGCTGCATGATGAGGACTGGGAGTAGGGAAGATCCAAGGTCATGGGCATTGAATGGGGTGGGAGAAGGGCTGAATGACCTTGTGGGAGCCTGGTGGGGCCCAGGGAGGTGGAGGGAGATGTCCTGGAACAGGGGAAAGGACCTGCGGTGTGTACTGAGCACTGGGTGTGGCTTGTTCTCCAGGATGTAGAGGCAAAGACCATGAGGCTAGAAGAACATGGCAAAGTGGTGTTGGTCCTGGAGAGAGCCTCTCAGGGAGCTGGCCCTTCTCGCCCTCCAACCCCAGGCAGGAACCGGTAACACATCTGCCACACTCCTTCTGCACACCTTCTCTCTTGCCCACCTTCTCTCCTTCCATTTTCCAGGCTTTACTCCCTTCCCCCATGTCTTACCCCTGCTCGCTGGCCTCCCCGGGGTGGGAGGGGAGGGGCATTCGGGGATCAGATGCACCCCCAGAGCCAGCTTTCCCTTAAACTCCAAGGTGGGGCAGAGCTGGCGGATAGGGAAGGGTGATGTGATTCTTGATGTCTGTTCAGATGTGGGAAGTGCTATGGATTGGCTGTTTCTGCTAGGTATACCGTGATGTCTGGCACCCCAGAGAAGATCCTAGAACTACTGTTGGAGGCCATGCGACCTGATTCCAGCGCTCATGACCCAACAGGTAGGGGCAAGAGATGCCCCGTCTACTGTGTGACTCATTGGGTGGTCAGCGTTGTCTGGGAGAGGGCCAGGCACCCTGAGTGTGATGTCAGTGGGTGCTGGGTTGGCCCATTTGGCCAGTCAGCAGGAAGTCCTCATTCCTGTGCTCTTGGCTTGGGTGGGGAATGCCGTCACAGGGGCTGGGCCTTGCTGGGACACTGCCACTATGGGACTAGGAGAAGGGAACCCCAGTTCTGTCTGTATCTGTGCTTGGCAGACTTGATCTCTGAGGTTCCTCCTGTTCCCCTGTTCCTGCCCTACAGAGACTTTCCTCAGTGACTTCCTCCTGACCTACAGCGTCTTCATGCCCAGTGCCCAGCTCTGTGCCGCCCTCCTGCACCAATATCCTTCCAGCCCCAGGGGGGATAAGGAGGTTGTGCAGGACAGGGAGAAGGGGTCTCTCCCCACAGAGCTGCGCTGAGCTCTCTGAAGGACCAGGCTGGTGCCGAGGCCAGCTTGTCCGCGGGCCCCGGGCGTCCTTGCCCGTCCTTTGCCTGAGCTGTGGTGGGTAGCCTGGCCGGCCGTTGTGGTTCCCTTGACTGGCACCCACCTTCCACGCGGAGCCCTCGGGGGGCAGTGAGCAGGAGCACAGCACCTACATCTGTAACAAGAGGCAGCAGATCCTGCGGCTGGTCAGCCAGTGGATGGCCCTCTATGGCCCCATGCTCCACGCGGACCCAGTGGCCACCAGCTTTCTCCAGGTACCTGGGGGTGAGGCAGGGCCAGAGTGGGCAGCCAAGGGGAGGTGAGACTACCTCTGAGCCAATGCATCTTGGCTCCTCCCAGAAACTCTCAGACCTGGTGAGCAGAGACACGCGGCTTTGCCTCCTGCTGCGGGAGCAGTGGCCGGAGAGGCGGCGACACCACAGGTGATGCTCAGGCTCTAAGTTAACTTTCCACATGTGTGGCGGGTGGTGCATGGGGAATGGAGAACCCCACGCTGATTCTGGATACTGACACAAACACGCCGCTTGCCATCCAGGCTGCACTGCCTGTGGCTCTGCTGTTCTAGGCATGGTCCCCATCTCAGGGCTTCGGGCTCTCGTCCCTAACACCGGGACGGTGCCCATCTCCTGAGGATGGCGTGTTCCCATGCCTTAGCTGAGCAGCACCTGCAGGTGCCATGAGCCCTGGGAGTGTCAGCTGGGATTGCTCATTTGACTCCTTATTACAGTTAGCCCTTCCTACCAGTCGCTTGCTGTTCACCCTCACGCCATGCCTGCGCATTCTCCCTCGCACCTTCTCCCAAGTGCACCTGCCATTCCCACTTCCTCCATTCTGCACGTACTTACCCCAGAGCATCCTCAGTGCCCAGTCCTGCCGGCCCCACCCGGTGCATTTCCTAGAGCTTCTCTTGGCCTTCCCAGACATTCCCGTGGGACCGGGTGAGATTTAGGGAGGGCTCACCTGCCCAGATGGACCCCTGGGGCACATTGCTTCCTGGAACTCTCTTTCCTTCCTGTGCTGGCCTGCGAAAATCCCAGCATACAGGGGCTGAGTTTCAAGCCCTGGCTTTGCCCCCTCTGGCTGGAACTTAGCAAGTCTGCAAAGCTCTGAGCCTCTGCTGAGGGCAGATGGAATCCAGAGCCAGGCCCCCTACCCCCACTCCTTGCCCCTACCCTCCTGTCTCACCCACAGGGGTCCGTTGCTCCATCCATCGCCGCATCTCACTGCCCTTCTCACTTGCTCCCCAGGTTGGAAAATGGCTGTGGGAATGCATCTCCTCAGATGAAGGTGTCTGCATGGACCAGCTCCTCTCACCTCTGTCTGGCCCCAGCTTCTTCCCTCTGCCCCTCCCTCAGCCCCCACCCCAGGGGCTCAGCCTGGGAAGGATTCCCATGCACAGACACACCCCTGGGGCCGGGATAGGTGTTCACAGAGCAGGAACTCCCCAATAGGCCTGGGGAGACACAGAGGTCTAGGACCACCCCTCCACCCCTACCTCACCCCAAGGGGTTTCTGTTGCATTTGGGAGGTAATCCGTGTTCATAGAACCAGTTAGCAGTTCCGGGGATGGGGGGACGGTGCCTGAAGGCAGCCTCTGAAGCGTGAGGGTTCCTGGGAATCAGAGGTGGCCAGTGCCATCCCTGGCAGGGGACCACAGGCAGCAAAGGGGGATGAGAATGTGTGGCTGGAGCTGAGATTTCTTGAGGAATAGTAGGAGATAGGGCTGGAAAGGTAGGATGGGGCCGGTTATAGGGAGTGCTGCCCTGGGAAAATAAACACCAGGCTCTCTGTGCCCGGTGGCCTGTCTGCCCCTTGCCCCCAGACTCTCACAGGCTCCTTCTCTTCTATAAGCAAAGTTTGTTTCTACCTCAGGGCCTGGAAATTTTTATCTCTGGCTCTGGGCCCACCTAGATCCTTATCTTTATGATCTCAGCGAAAATGTTGGGTTCTCAGAGAGGCTCCCCCATCTCCTTATTCAGAGCACCCCACCCTCTCCCTTGCCAAGGTGTCTTCTGTGATTCTCCTCAAAGCCTTAGCACCATGTGGGGTACTTCTTTATCATCTGTTAGTGCCCGTCCCACCAAGCTGGAGTGCTGGCTTTGAGAGTGAGGGGCCCGGACCTCTGCTTCCCCAGGGCTCCCAGGCTGCCTTGCTCATGGCGGGTGCTCAGGAACTAGTGTGGAATTGCCCTCACAGGCCCTCTGCTAGGTGCTATTGCTGCAGAAGTGGGGGCGAGACACCCCCGGCCAGGTGGGGCTCACATCACAGACAGGCGAGGGACAGAGCAGCTGAACAGTGTCGTGATGCCTAACGGCAAAGGCAGGAGTCTCTGGAGACAGAGAAGGGACAGGCTGACTCGGGGTCAGAATCGGGGAGCGTGACCACAGGAGCTGAGAGCTACAGAGCAGGAGGGTCAAGGCAGAAGAGGCCCCACAGTCCGGTTCGACGGGGAGGGAAATCTACCTGTTTGGGACCCTGCAGGAGGGAGTGTGAGAGGGAGCCACCAGAGGAGGCCATGCTGAGGGGTTTGGTCCTTGTCCTCTGAACAGTGTGATGCCTTGGAGGTGTGGGAACCATGGGTTGACAAGGTCAAGTGTGTGTTTTGAGTAGGTCAGCTAAAGAGCTGGTGATTTATCCAGCAGACAGTGATGGCCTTGAAGTTGCATTAGGAAGCTTGATCTGGCTCTGGTCAGGCAGACGGGTTGGGGGGTAGTTGGGGGCTGTGGGGGGAGGGGCAGGAGGCACCCAAGGGCTGATGGAGGAGAATAATCCGGCCACTGTAGCACATGAGGAGGGAAGCAACTGAGCAGGTGGATCTGAGGTTTGGCCTGGGCTGGGAGGAGGGGCTCAGAGGAACCCCCAGAACAAGATGATAAGCTTTAGGGAAACCAGAGTGGGGCGGCAGGTCAAGGGCTGGAGAAAGGTTGGGAGGCAGGATGAGAGCGTCTGGGGGGATGGAGCACAGATATGGAAGGATCCAGGAGGTGTTTGGAAGAGAAGGTGATGCTAGAGGCTGCGACCTCCCCATGTAGGTGGTGTGAGACTGTGTGGAACTCTGGGGAGAGCTCTGAGACGTGAAACATAGAGAAGACCCGTGGGCCAGGGTCTGAGCTCAGAGGATTGGCCCCATTCAGAGCTGGGAGGGGAAGAGTCAGTACAGGAGTGGGAAGAACAGTCCGGTGGACGGAGGCACTGTGTGGTGGAGGCCTCCACTCCTTGCCCTGTGCTGGGGCCTCATGAAGAAGGGCTGTGGGGCCTGACAGGGCAGTAGCGTGTGGGGAGGTAACAGCGCAAAGGGAGGGAGGAGCAGGTTAAGATTCTGGCTGTGCTACTTAGCAGCTGTGTGGCCTTGGGCCCGTTATTAATCTCTCTGAGCCTCATTTCTATTACCTATAAAATGGGAATAATATGAATATTTTTGTTAAAGGGCTACTGTGACTATTTAGATACTTAGAATAATCCTGTCCTTAGCGTGGCACACAGCAAACAGCCAGTTAGCAAACGGTAGCCAGAGGAGGAAGAGGAGGAGAAAACCAGGGCCAGGGGCTGAGGTGTGCTCATATTAGGATCACTCAGGGCCCATTTGGCAAAAGGGGTGACGCGCAGGCACAGGAGCACTGACTTGTCTCTCCTCGGGGAGCCTTGGTGCCTCATGCCTACCCAGCTCAGGTCCACGCAGCAAGCAGAGCCTGCCGGTGGTGTGCATCCAGTGCAGGTCTCACGCTCCCGGGGACAGAAGCCTCTGCTCTGCCTGTTCTCCCCTGTGCCCCCTGTGACCCAGGGCTTACTTTCTCTCCCTCTCAGACCAGGAACATGCCCGTTTGGCTCCCCGGCCAGGACCAGCCCCTCCCCAGCAGGAACTGTGCCATTCGAGCTGGGGACAAAGGTTGGTGGTCCCTGCCAGCCTGCACCCTGCTGTCGTTATCCAGGACCTTAGTATGCCTGGCCGAGGAGGGCACACTGTACTCCTCAGGGTCTCTGTTCCAGGCTGCCAGACAGGGTGTGTCCCCCCAACTCAGGACCTCCCTACCCCCCCCCCCCCAGGGCAGCATATCCACCCAGGCTTCCCCTCACCACCCACCCTGCCTCCTCGGGACCCTCCCACTGCTGCATCGGCTGCGCGCTCACTTCTGGCTGGGGGGACCAAGAAGCCTCTTCCTCCAGCTCAGCCTGGTCTTCCTCTCCAGTCCCCTATGACATTTGCCGACCGGACCACTCCGTGCTGACCCTGAAGCTACCTGTGACGGCCTCCGTGAGAGAGGTGATGGCAGTGTTGGCCCAGGAGGATGGCTGGACCAAGGGGCAGGTGCTGGTGAAGGTCAACTCTGCGGGTGGTGAGTTTGTGTCTCTGGGCGGGATGGCCCTGAGGGAGGGACCCCTCCGTCCGTGCCTGCCCAGATTCCCGCCCTTGAATTAAGATAATCATTTTGATCACCTTCATCAATGTTAGTGATGGTTAGCATTTAAGGGCGGTTTATTAGGTCTCCAAAGGGCTTCGCGTGTCATGCTTGAGAGCATGTGCTTGGGGCCGGCTGTCGGCAGTTGAGCCCAGCCCTTTAGCTTCCTGTCTGTGTGTCCTTGGGCAGGATTCTTCTTGATCTTTCTGTGCTCTTTTCAGCATCTGTAAAATGGGGCTGATAGGAGTGCCGACTTCACAGAGGAACGGTGAGGACTGAATGAGCCTATTTTAGGGTTTAGAACGGTGGCTGGCCCAGCACTTTGTACATTAATTTTATTATTATCGTCCTCATATATTCATGGAATTCTAATAACCACTTTATGAGATAGGTACTTTCATCCTATTTTCATTCAAGGAAACTGAAGCTCAAGGGGATGAGGCAATTTCCCCGAGTCATTGAGAGTGTCTGGCTTTTGAATTTAGGTAGTCTTCATTCATTATGTCAGTTGGCGCACATATTTGAGAGGCAGCTATGGGACAGCGATGTGTTAGGAGCTGGAGGCAGCGTGGCAGGTGAGACAGAGAAGCTTGGTGGTTAAGAGCATCCACAGAACCCCTGGGCCTGTGTTGGGACCCCAGGACCCACTGCCGACGAACTGTATGATCCTGATCTGAACAGAGTGCTTAACCTCTCTGAGCCTCTGATTCCTCACCTGTCCCATGAGCTCTAAAACTGTACCCATCACACAGGACGGCTGTGGCCATTAAATGAGGTCACATTAAGAAAACACTTAGCCCCGGGCTGGCACAAAGTTAGTGCTTGGAACATGGAAGCATGAGAATTACTTAGACCTCCTTTCAGGGACCTTGGGCCATCAGAAACCCCTCTTCAGTCTCTGTGAAGGACACAGCCCAGGCCTGACATCTGGAGTCTAGAGTAGACAAGAATTAGGGGCACCCAGGGAAAAATGGCAAGGAGCGGGGGGTTGGGGGTGGCCAGAAAAGCAAACACTTCTCCCCCTTCAGGAAGTGGGGCTTCAGGATGAAGTCCCGCGCACCTGTGTTCTGCTCTGGGAAGCACCTCCCCCTGGTGGCGACTCAGAGAGTTGCAGCTGCCCCGGAACCAGAGACCCTACTATGTGACAGGAGCTGTTCAGAGCACTGACCTTCCTTCAGATGGTTTAGATCCCCTCCCATGTCAGTAAACGCTATTTTTACTACAAACCCGCTGTTATCTGTGTATTTGCTCAGAAGTCATATACATATACTCCCACACTAACATTATATAATTTTAAAGCTACCCACAAAGTAAAACTGCAAAACAGATGAGAAAAATAAATATAAGGAGAAGAGTTGATATTTTTTGGACACATGATGGTCTTACTTTGGAGGCTACCGGCCTAGAGAGTGGGGATTCACACATGACTAAGAACACGGGCTCGTTCAGTAGTTGCTGATGAAAATCAACACTAAGTAAGGCCCACTTTCCACTTTTCAAAGGCCATTACATGCCTCATCTACTTATTGCCATTGCTTACATAAATTAACTTGTTGGACCTGTGAGTTGTCAGGGTTGGTCTTGCTGTCTCCGTTTGACAACAGAGGAAACTCTCGGAGACTTCAGTGTTGCCCGAATATTGCCTATGTCACTGACAATCCTTTCTTGTCTTCCTCAGTGTGCTGACCTGTCCACAACCTGGGCAGTGTGGATGTTGTGGGCAAGAGCACCTGCCCAGGACTCTAGCCTGGCCACTGGGAGAAGGGGCCTCCAAGCCTCCCAACTGGGGCCCCGACACTGCCTTTGGTAGCTCCCAGGCCTCCGTCTTTGTCCACCACTTCCCCACCCCCCAGCCCAGCCTCTGCTTTCTTTGCAGATGCCATTGGCCTGCAGCCAGAGGCCCGTGGTGTGGCCACATCCCTGGGGCTCAATGAGCGGCTCTTTGTCGTCAACCCACAGGAAGTGCACGAGCTGGTAGGAACAGACAGGGGGCCAGGGAGGAGCTGGGTTTTGGGAGTGGCAGAGATGGGTGCAGGGGAGGGTCACAAAGAGGGGAGACGAGGCCCTGGCTCTGACTGCTGCCGGGTCTTAAGGATGAAGTGGAAGGAGTGGGCCTCAGCTGATGGAAGGTTCCAGAAGCTGGGGAAGGGAGAGAGCTGGTTGAGAGCTTTCAAGGAGAAAGAAGACCTCCTCCCACTGGAGATTCCCCAGGAGATAGGAGCCCAACAAGGAGGGGGGGGGTCTCAGCACTGGGGAGCTGGCAGAAGGATAGACGTTTCCTTGGGAAGCCTTATCCTTCAGAGGCCTACTCCTGGTAGCACCCTTCTCCTCCCCGACATCCCTTTGACCATAGGCATGGAGTCTCTGCCCCAAGCTCTCTCCTCCTACCCCACATCTGTCCCCTGGATCCCCCTCCTGAGCTCTCTTGCACCCACAGACCCCACACCCCGAGCAGCTGGGGCCTACTGTGGGCTCTGCGGAGGGGCTGGACCTGGTGAGTGCCAAGGACCTGGCGGGCCAGCTGACAGACCACGACTGGAGCCTCTTCAACAGTATCCACCAGGTGCGGGGAGCAGAGCTGAGGGGAGGCATGCAGCCGGCCGGCAGGGGCACCCCACCTTGTGTGGGCTCATCTCTCCTGCTCTCTCCTCCCCAGGTAGAGCTGATCCACTACGTGCTGGGCCCCCAGCACCTGCGGGACGTCACCACGGCCAACCTGGAGCGTTTCATGCGCCGCTTCAACGAGCTCCAGTATTGGGTGGCCACGGAGCTGTGTCTCTGCCCTGTGCCGGGCCTGCGGGCCCAGCTGCTCAGGAAGTTCATCAAGCTGGCCGCCCAGTGAGTGTCTGTGGGCTGGAGCGGGGGTGTGTATGGCCGAGTCCTGAGGCGTCTCTGTCCCCAGTTACCTAATCTGCCATCCCCTTGCTTCCCTGGGTCTCCTAGAGTCTTTGCCTCCCCACCCCCCCCGTTTGGCCCCAGGCCCCACAGAGGCAGCGCTGGCCTGGTGGGGCCTGATCCTGGGCCCCAGGCCTGCTGTTGTCTGGGTAGGAACTTTGTGGGCATGGCTGTTTCCCCTGAGATCTCTGGATCTTCTACCCATAGCCTCAAGGAGCAAAAGAATCTCAATTCCTTCTTTGCCGTCATGTTTGGCCTCAGCAACTCGGCCATCAGCCGCCTGGCCCACACCTGGGAGGTAGGTGTGATCTGGAGGGCCCGTGCCCATCCTGGGAGTGTGGGTTGGGGCTAGGGCTCCCATCCCGGAGCAGTGAGAGCTCCATCTGCCTCTCCTCTACAGCGGCTGCCCCACAAAGTCCGGAAGCTGTACTCTGCCCTCGAGAGGTTGCTGGTGAGTGCTGGGTCTTGGCTCCTCTTTCCAGAAACCCTGATTCTGAGCTTCCCAGCAGTCCCTCTACCTTTCCCTGGCCACTTCCAGAGTTCCCAGCCCTGGGCCAGAGTCGGATTCCTTCTGGGCTGTGTGTTTGGGGTGCTGGCTGCGGCATGAAGTGTTAGCAGAATGAGGGGGGCACAGAGCGTATTGTATCCCGTGTGGCAGGGGTGGGAGAACCCTAGCTATGGCCGTGAGGTCCTGTGTGAGGACCAGGACAGGACACATGTGGTGTCTGGCCTTGGGCTCCGAAGCGCCAGGGGAACATCCGGGGAACACGGGTCTCCTGCCGACCTGTCCCAGGCCCAGGAAGCAGGTCCTGGCACCAGACCCATGGTGGGCCAGAGTCTGTCAGTGGCTCCTCAGGAGATGCTAGAGGAGGCCAGAGACGAGGGAAGAGTTGAGGAGCTGGCTGCCCTTCCCACCCCCCTGCCAGGAATTGTTGGCGGTTAAGAGGTCTTGGGAGTGTTCAAGAGAGCTCACACAAAGGGTTTTTATCAGCCTGGCTATGAGCTCTCAAGAAAAAAATGTACCTTGCGGCCTCAAGAGATTCAGAGGAATTTACCCACTAGAGAGGGACAGACAGAGACAAAACAAGAGGAGGGACAGAGAGAGAGAGAGAGGGTTTTCCATAAAACCCCTGGGCCCCTGAAGTGTGTTTGAGGGGCTAAGACCAGGAAGCCTCACACACAGATGACCGGTGGTGCTTCAGGTCCCCTCCCGCCTGCTGCGGAACCCACCTCGGGGAGACCTGGGGCCCAGAGGAAGCTGAGCTCCAAGCAGGTGGTGTTTGGTTGTGTCATGGTGTGTTGTGGTTAGGTCCCTCCCTCACTGAGGCTTCTCCCCTCTCAGGACCCTTCATGGAACCACCGAGTCTATCGCTTGGCCCTCACCAAGCTCTCCCCTCCCATCATCCCCTTCATGCCTCTTCTTCTCAAAGGTAATTGGACCAGTGCTTACCTTCTCACCTCCACCCATCCGTTCCCGCGTCTGTCCGC